GCATCAGGCTACAAACGGGGAGACCGTGAGTTCTAGTCCCACCTTAGGCAACTGGTTGACCTTGGGCCAGTCACACTCTCACAGCCATATGAAGCAGGTAATGGCAAACCACTTCTGAAATCTTGCCAAGAAAACTGCAGGGATTTGTCCAGGCAGTTGGCTGGTGTCAACAATGACTCCATGTTAAATGTTAAAGCATGTGGCTGGGAATTTGGGAGTTGAAGAAGTGTTAACACATCTAGAGAACATCAAATTAGGAAGATTGTGCTAACCTGTTGGTGTGAATACCATCTCTGGGATCAGCTGACAGTCACATTTTGTAATATGTGATTTGTGTAATAACTGAATCGAGGCCCACTAGTCAAGGTATTGGCCCTGAGAGGGGATTGCACAACACTTTTTGTTTTAGGCACTACACATGTGTGCCACTACGAGTTGTCAAGCTGTAAAGTGCAGGATAAACAATAATTATGGGAAGAGGAACTGCAGGCTGGCTCTGATTAGACTTAACTGATAGCAGCATTACTTAGTGATATCTTTAGCATCCTTTCTATGAAAATGACTTGTTTGTAAAGGGCAAATTGTTTCAAGCTGGACCTTTCATTTAAACCACTCCTCTTTTCTACATTATTGTCACATAAGGCTACAGTATGTGGTGCACTGATCTATTCGCTTCTAACCTTGATTAATTTTAGAGATCCCTAAGGGTGGAGCAACTTTGGTACCAGCTAATTAAATGCTCTCTAGAGTTGCTCTCCATGCATTTTATTAGACCAGAATGAACTCTTTTTCTTTCAATGCAATCTACAAAGATTTTTTCCCCTAGCTATTACTAATTAAATGATGCTGTAAGAGTTTCTATTACATTTTTAAACATCAGGGAAACGCAACTGCACATCAGAATTCAGGTAAACACTCCAAAAGGGGGGAAAATATTTTTCACATTTGGTTACTAGCTGGCATCCCTTCAAATATATAGCTTAAATTCTCCTTTCATCTCAGTCTGCGTATTTCATACTGCTCTGAATGGTGCTAATGAAATACTGGAAGAAGCTGTCAGCTTTTGAGCACCTTCAAGACTGTACAAACTAAAAAGGCATTAGTATGAAAGTGTACCTGCCACAGTATATTACTTATGCACAACAATTATTCAGAAAAGGAGAGTTCACAGTGACTTAAACTACCTTACTAATTAAAGTCTCCAGAAAGAATAAACTTGCCTTCATATTCATACTGAGATGCAGGCAAGAACAATTACAATTTTTAGCAGCCTGTTTTGAAACCTATTTTTTACTTGGTTAAGATAAAAATCAGATCTTTTGGGAACTTGGAAAGTTAATAATTAATGGTCAAGGACCCTTTTTTTAAAAAGAGAGAGAGAGGAGCAATGGAGAAAATTTTCTTGAATTGCATATATGGACGGAGGCCTTTCCAGACTATGGTCCACTCCTGAAATGATCAGATGGATTACTATTCCTCATTCAAACCAGTAAAACAAACCAGTTAAAATATAATCTGAATAAATTATTTTTAATTGTTGGGTTTCCCATTTATTGGATCTTAACATCTATGGACAAAAAATAACGAATACGTGGTGGTGTAGGATGCAGTGAGAAGTAAGTGACAGTGTAGGAACTCCCTTAATATTTTGCCATCAATCCTAAGAAATTCCTATTAGCGGATCCTTAAAAATGCTACTTTGGGCTCTTCTATCAGCATATATAAATATAATTAATACATTTTAAATTCTGGGACATTTTGCATTACAGAAGTAGCTACAGTACATGCCTATTAACTATATATCTCTAAGAAATATACAATATAGATACTTTAAAGATAGAAGCATTTAGTTTTGCAGGGTCATATGATGCTGGAGAACCATTAAAAATTTGATAATGGCTCAACAAGCTAGAAATTTATTAGATTATTACCACACATTAGCTATACACAGCATTTCCACAGTTAATATTTTAGGAATAAGTCTCCCAAAATATCCAATTCCAACACAAGCTGTACATTTCTGTGCCCTGTGAGCAGCATCTGGCCTCCTCCTAACTTTGTGGCAAAGTCGAAGCACTATTTAAAACCCCCAATGGAAGCAAAAGTTGCCATTTCTCTGAGGAGGCAAGAGAATATTTGGCTTTACTAACAAAATAAGAAAAACCAAGGGACAGAAATCAAAAGAGTGAACAAATGTTTAATGGTTTGGCAAGACATATGTGGTCATTTTCTTACTATCTGACAGTTCAGCAAATGGCTTAGAAACAAAAAACCTTTCTCTATCTGACTCTGGTGTCTCAGTGGAGCCAGGACTGAGATAGCAACATATGGAACATGGCAGAAGAGTCAACATGGCCCACAGGGCACGACTGCCTTGAACTCTGATCTAAAGCTCATATGTTTGAGTCCTACCTATACTATAAACTCACTAGGTGTTTTTGGGAAATTGTTATATCCAACCTTCAGCTCCCTCATACAGAAATGGGGACATTATCAGCCTGCTTCAGAGGCACTGAGAGGAATAATAAGATGGAAGTCTAATGCTATACTTCAGCTACAGCTACAAAACAGTGTTCACAGATGTTGCTGTGTGCTCTGGAAAGCTACATATAAAAATATAATCCTTCTAAATGTTCTTCTATGCATGTCCACACTGAGTTTAATAAGTAGAGTGTATTATATAAAAAAATACCAGTTACAACTCCCTCCCTTTGCTTAGTAGAGCTACATTTTAATATCAGTTTTTTTTCTTTCCCTGCCTTAACATAAAGGCAAACTTCATGCAACATACAAATCCATACCACATAAGGAAAGCCTAATAATTATTTCTTTCAATCAACGAACATATATGAACTTAAACTTATCATTGTCATTTCTATTTCAAAATCCTGTCTTCCCTGAGCTGCACTTTCTTCCTTTTCTCCTGTTGTTTCCCAGTATGACTTTCAGATTGTCAACTTGGGGGGCAGGGATCTACGCTCTTATACTCTGTATAGTGCTGTGCACACTGATGACACTTTACAAAAAACGCTATAATAAGCACATTTTGTCTCTTCAAATTTAGTCCCTTTGTGGGGATCCAAAGGCCTATAACATTTATTGGGAAAGTTGTGGAAAAAAGCTTCAAAATTCCTCTTTTCTTTCTCCCCTTGCTCTTCATGATCAGAAGAAAAAAAAAATCTCTACCAAAGCCATTTTTCTTTCATTATTATTTGTTTAAATACCACCTGGGTTGTATTATTTCAATTTATGGGTAGTGTGTACTTTGTTCCACAAAATTGGCCTGGGAGGCTATGAAGCATTTTCTGCTCTCCCTCTGGCTGAACATAATAGTGCTTCCTTCAGTGGCCCATTGATTCATTATTTTCCTCCTCTGTGAGTTTTGGAATGCAGATCTCACAGGTTTCTTCCCCTGCTACTCCAGAAACTGGATTTGGAGATACTGGTGTTTCTCCACCAGATGGCTGTGTTCCTTTAAGAAGCACTAGAAGCTCTTTGAACTCCTCTCTTCAGATCTCCCTTTCCAATCTTTCTTTCTCTCTGCTCAGTTTCCCTCCATAAAGTATCCCTCCACTTTTCTAAGAGCTTCCCTTTGCCCTTCCTCCGCTCTTTTAGCCATCGTTTGTCTCTCCTTATCTTGTTGCCTCAGCATCTCCCTCATAATACTTTTCAGGGCTTCAGATGGGTCTGGTTTACTTTCAGGGTTGGCTTCTCCCTCCACAGATTCTGGTTTACTCTCTTCCTCCATTTCAAGATGTCTCATGTAAGCTCTACGAGTGGATATGAGTCACATGCCAGTATATTCCTACTTGCCTCTAAAGCTCTAACCCTTTGTCTCCCAATCTCTTTTCCCTCAGGAGCAGGAACACCCTTTCTCTTCTTCATGCAAGCCTTTTATCTTCTATGTCTGGATACTGTAGCATATCCCATTTCTGACACCATTTGTTAGGGTTCTTCTCAATATGATACAGAACACAGACGCACAGACTGTATTTGTTTTTCCCACAAAAAACTGTTGTATTGTACCAAATTAAATTCCTCTCTTATTCTATTTTCTTATTACTCCAAGTTTACTACTATTCTATTTCTATTCTTATTTAATCTATACATTTCTATCTCCGTGTTCTATTTCTGTATTCCTATGTTAGCACTATGCTTTCTTATCTTAATTATTTCTTCTTTAAGTCTTTTCTTTTCCCTCAGGTCTTCAGCTCTTGTAGCCAATCTCAGTCCACTTGCACGTGAAAACCGTTTTCACTCCTTTATAGACTTGCGAATGGGCTTTTGTCTCCCCGCCCCCCCCGCCACACCACTTCCTGAGCTGGTTTGTAGAGCTCTGCACCTGGGCTGCTGCACACAGTGGGCTTGGTTTGGTTTTCAGGCTTGGTTTGAACTCTTTGTCTGACAGTTCAACCTATTTTCTGCTCTTCAAATTTTACAAGGCTGTTTTGATACGAACATCTGGAGCCAAACAGAACGTAAGAATAGTCTATCTACCTTGGGATACATCATCATCCCATGCTTATAAAAACACTGAAAGGCTTGAACATTCATAAAACCTCTAACAAGCAGCACACTAATAATGTCTTTTGCTGTCTCTTTCTGCTTATGGCCAATTGCAGTAGCCATATATTGTCTGACATTGCCAACCTAAACACTTCGGTATGATTCCATGAAGCTATTCTGTGAATTTTAAAGTGTGGAAACTGGCCCCTTAATCAAATGGAGCTGAAGTAAACATACAGTATTAAAAGGCTTTGGATGAACATCTAGTATGTTTTGAGGATCTAAGCCAAAAATAAAGAAAAGGATAATTAGAAGCTAATGGAGAGGTCCTTGGCTGACATCTCATCAAGTGCCCAACAGCAGTCAAAAGAGTATACTCCTCTATTTAAAACACTGATCTGAGAGACTGATTTATTAGTGACATGTGCAGATTAAAAAAAGCAAGATGGCTCTTTCTTGTTAAATGGGTGAAATTTTGGTTTGCAAGGCAGAACTTACCGATCTTTCCCAGTTTCCTTTTTAAAGATTTCATCACAGTAGCTCATGCGTTTTTCTGTGGTCACATAGATTCTGGCCCCAGGGTAACTGTCCACAGTCTTCTTCAGCATATTGTATACAATGCCATTTCCATCTTTTCTCATATTTCGGAAAGGTCCCCAGATGACATAAATTGTACTGTTTGTTTCCTTGAAAAAGTAGTCTGCATTCTTAAGCAAAAGAGGGACACTAGTATGGGAGACAACTCTTATTGTTGTCCTTTTCCCAACATCATCTTCATAGCCCTTGGTGGGAGCATTGTTCATTCTCCATATACAGGAAGCCTGGTCAATTTCAAATCCTACTTTCTGTTCTGTCATCTGACCTGAGTTTGAAATAATGGCACAGAGGTCACACTCCAGTTGCAGAGGCTACGGAAAGGAAGGAAAATAAAATAATCGTCAATCAATTTTGCATGAGACATGAAAGCAATTTGAAACTAGGGGATTTAAAGATCTGGAATCAGGTTATATGCATAATATGCATTAATAAGTACCTACCAAAGATCTCTGATCTGTCAATAACAGCTGTTAGAGGAGTGAATATCAGGGACCAAACTTTTTATAGGATAGCCACACCTCTCCAGAAAATGTGTTTTCCTGCACTTCTTGTTGACTTTTAGATCAGATCTAAAATCTTTTTTATTCTAGTTGGCTTATAGATGATTATAGTGCAAAAGCCAGCCATGGGTATAGTTTAGAGGGCACAAAGTAAACTGTGAGACAAAATTATCTTTTTCAGCATCTTTTTATTCTCAGTCTGAATCTGCTGCTTAAGGTAACTATCTCATTTGTCTAACTGCAGCCCTAATTGTAATGCAAAAATGATGGCTGAAGAAAACTGCGGTGTGTACAGAAGTAGATTTTGAAAGAGCAAAACAGGAAGAAGCAGCAACAGCATAGTAGAGATAATAGTCTGCCAAAGGGAATTTTGATGAAAGAAATTGAGACATGAAAGAGGCAGAATTATAGGGGGTCAGCAACTAAAAAGGAAAAGCCAATAGAACGAGTTGTGGAATTATTAAGATAGGACAAGAAAGATGCTTTCTAGATTTCTTTCTGAAACATGTGCATTGTGTATTTGAAAAGGAAAAGTGAAGGTGAACAGGTTGGAAGTTCAATGCATGTAAGAAAGGTATACTGAGATGACAGGCAGTGTGGCTGTGCATACCAATATATCTCCAATTCAACTGTCAGTTCAGTTTGGATCACTGAATATATTTGGATTTCTGAACTATATTGGATTTCCAAATCAGGTAATTTAATGAGCCAAACTGATTTGGAAAGTAAATTCAATTTAGAAAAATGCCTTTCTCCAAATACATACCTGGCCATAGAATCATTGGATCAATTTGGAGGCAAGCGATTTGATGATCTGATCCAAAAAGTAAATTTGATTCAGAGAGTCAGTCAAATAATTTTTCACCTGAATCTCCAAATCAATTATTTGCACATTAATTTAATCCTGTGGAGGATTAAGCCAAATAAATAGTCCAGGTCCATTATAATACAATTATTCAAAAACTAACCTTATTCCATGCTGTATTCAGATAATATGCACTAGTACAACTGATGTCTAGTTGAAAGAGTACAGTAAAGAAAAGAAAATAAGTGCAATGTTGAAGGAAGAGAAAATGAGTCAACTCATTTGTAGGCATAGCTATTTAATAGTAGGATGGAAATGCCATCAGCAAAATTTCTATCTCTTACTATGTCATTTCTGTCTCTTACTGAACACTGCATATAATGTGTGCTCCATTCTCTGTGATTTTAAGTCAGTCAGGTAATTATTGCTTGTTTCAGAATCTCTCTTTCCATTCCAAAATGAACTGCAAAGAAGAGCAAATACAGAAGTTGTTCTGTAGTAGTGTTGCTTTGACACAGAAAACTTGAGTGGTATTAATTAACAATTTTTTCTAATACATTTTGGACAAATAAAATATTACTAGAGGCTTAAAGGAACTGAGTATGGATATTCTTGATAAAAAACGGGAAATATTGAAAGTTCAAATAATCAAGATAGATCCTGTCAATCTTCTATGGTCTGTGTTATTTCTCATATTTTATTACCAGGTATTATGCAACCGGAGTGTATTAGTATGTGTAGTACTAATACCTACTGTATATTAATGTGTATTAATGTGAATTTAAGTTTGTGGGATGTGGGCAATTGCTTTACCAGTCTCTAGATTACAGATCCTACTTGTATCAAATAGTGTGAGCAAGCCTGGGGTGAAACTGAGTTTCAGTTATGATTGGTCAAAATATGCCCAAATTGTTTTTACCTTTAGCAAGGAATGGTGCATGTGGCACAAGTGCAACTAAATCTGGTAACCTACTGTCTGTCTTACTAAAGAGCATTATATAAAACTCTAAATTGACCAAAGCAGGAATAGATAGCAGACGTCAATATCTATGGCCTCATCTGGTGACAACCATGGCATATGGAAGTTGTACTTGGCCTGTGTCATCCTCATTAGGTAGACCAGACCAGGAAATCAACTACATAGAAGCTAAAACTCTTTTACTGAGATTGGCTATAATAATAATCTGCAAGTCTGATTGTGCTATTCCTTCTTTCCTTCCTTCTAATACTCCAGTGATTTGGAAGGAGTCTGTCTGAGCCATTTTTGAATGTTAACTCATTGTTCTTTACTTAAAAAATGTTTTAGCCCCTTTTGCTTACATAATGGTTCTTGCAGATCTCAGTCAAGGTCATCTTCCTTACTCTCTACAGCATGTAAGAATAAATGGTAAAGATCATAAATTAACAAATGGAATGAATGAAAGAAAAATAGATATGCTGGGTACTGTGAAACTAAGAGAAAGTGGAAGGATGTAATAGATCTGAATAAAAGTGGCCTTCTGAAATGGAGTTGAGGAATACATGCAAAAAAGGGAAGGCATAGGTTTAATTATGAATGAAAGGGTTAAAATATGTGACAGTAAGTAAAAATAGGTTGTTGTGGATATGTATGAAAGCAGAAATCCATAAACAGAAGATAGTCACATGTTCTACTCCAGTGAATGGTGATAATGGAAGAACCAGATATGAGTTTTAATAAATATTCCACAATTTTCTGAATGAATGTGGTTCAGGGGAAAACTTTCAGGGGAATGTGGTTCATTTTGCTAGGCAACATGAATAAATGGTTGGAAATGAGACCTGAGAGTGTAGAACCATTTGTAAATTCCAAAATGAATGAGAGTGGTGACTTCCTGTCAAATATCAGCTTAGTAAGTATTTGCTTATTCTTGTTTGGAATATGTTATGTGGTTTAAACATAAGTCTAGTCGTACATATTCATGGAAAAGGAACAAATATAAATTTAAAAGCATAGCTCAGTTGACCAATGAAAGGCTGAAAAAGTATAGGATACAAGGGTGATCAGAGATTTTTAAATGTGGCTCAGACTATTTTGTAGTAGTGTCAGGAAGGAATCTTGGGAAAAAGAGAGATAGAAGGAAACAAAAGAAGTAAAAGAAATGAGAGGGAAAGTAAAATGATTGCTGGAAGATAATGTATAACTAGTGCATGAAAAAGTAGTAGAAAAAAGATTAATTTCCCAATTGAATGAACTGAAAGTGGATATAATGAAACAACATGTGGAAGATGCTCGGGACAGAAGAAATTATATCTATATACCTCTATCTCTATCTGTATCTATCAGAATGCCACAGAAATGTGTAAGAAATATGAAAAAGAACGTTTGGTGGAATTTGAAAGAAGCTATAGATGGAGAAAACTGCATATAAGAGAATGATTGCTACAACAGATGAGGATGTCAGAGAGATATTGTATGATTGTATAAAGAGGAAAAAGATTGTTGCAATAGTCAGAGAGCAGTGAGTAGTTAATATTAAAATAGGCAGAGAAAATACCAAGCAATTTTCATGGAAATAAAAAAATTGTTTTGGAGGTATCTGAAAATTGCTAAACTAGATGCCTCCAGCATAGTGAATGGACTTAAAAATAAAAGTGATGAAGTGATTTGGGATGAAACTGAAGTGAGAGAATGCTGGAAGGAATTTTTTAGACTTTGTACAGGAATGATACTGATATGTCAATGAGTGGAATTGAAATGAATGCAATAAATGTTAGAGTCCAAGAAACCACTGATGAAAAGGAATTGACAAATGCTGGGAGTATATTGAAAAATGGTAGCGCTGCAAGTATTGACAGGGTATAACTGGAGAACTGTTAAAATATGGATGTAATTTGCTTACACAGTGTAGGAAATAGAACAAGGAAATGTGATGGATCTATAATCATTTAAGATATATATGGATAAATATATGAGGAATGTTTGTTGGGATGATTTGAATATGCATTTACTTTTGTGTGCAAACAATGCTGTGATGTTGGCAGAGAATGACTTGCAACAAATTTCAGATAGTTTGCATGATGCAATGAGCAATATAAATCTAGAAAATAATGTATCAAAGATCAAAGTCGTCGTGTTTGACAGCAAAAATGGACTGAACATTTGCGGATCGCACAATCATATAATGCAGATCAGGCAGATAAAGTAAATAAATTTGTATTCCTGGTAAAATGTTTAGTAAAAACTGAAAAATGAATGAAGGAATTTTATGACTTGCAAATGCCAGTAGAAAGTTAGTAGTATGTGATCTGCTGTAAGGAATGAATGTTTGTTGAAAGGAAAAACTGGCTGTGTATAAGAGGGTGGTTCTCATCCTTTTGTTATCCAGAAGTAAGAGTTGGATCTGTCAGAAAAAACACAACCTAAACTGAATGCAGTTAGAATGGGTACTTAAGAAGTGTACATCATAAAACAAGAAGAGATAGAGCAAGAATGAATGCGTGATGAATAAAAGTAGATTCAGTATAAAGCTGAGGGACCAGTATGAGAGCTGCACATGGGTGTGGTTTGGTCATATGGCAAGATCAAACTGCAAAACAAATCTACGAAGAAACAATGACTGGGTCAAGAGAAGGAGAAGAAAATTGTGGTTGAAAGGAATCAATGAGATCCTCAAAAAGAGAGGTTAGAAATTCTGAAAACAAAAACCATGGAGTATGCATGTAGTAAAAACAAGGGTGGTTTGCAAGAATAGAAAGGTATGCAGAGGTATGGTATCAAGCCCCTAAACTGCAATGCAAACCAGAAAAGGAAGATTCAAATGTTGTTAATCAGGTTAAATGCCAGGAAAAGATACAGAATTTTAAAAATTAAATAAACATAATTCCCATTTACTAGTGCATTCATTACTAGTGAATTTAGTAATGAATTCATTAATTGTGAATTGCTTGAACTTGTAGATGACTTAACTGAAGGTCTAACGGTTTTTATCAGATAAGACTGAAACATACATTTGCTCTTCATTTGTCATGTTTTAAAATACTTCCT